ATTATTTTCAGCATAAAATCATCTAAAAATAAAACAGTGTGTTTATCGTTTGATAGCTTCAAATGTCCTATAGCCTTAGATGTGTGCGTTTTAAAGATGTTGGGGATGAATAATGGTCTCTTTTTTCATTAACAAAATTTTCATTCATTCCGTTTTAGATACATCCGCAACCCTATATAGAGTATTGAACATAGTATTTTAATGAGTACTTGATAAAATGAACTTATTTAGGAACTTTTTCTGCTTATTATTGAAAAGTATACCTTTCACATTATTGTGAGTTGAACTATTGAATATATCCCTGGAGACGATATGTCATTCCTGTTATAAATTTTCCAAAAAGGAGAAAGATTTCAAAGAGCAAGGAAGTGACCGACAACGAAGTATACAAGAAGAAGAAAAAGACAGCTGAACATATTACGCAATTGGTTATGCAATCGATGATTGTTTTCAAAATCACAGCTTTCATGTTTCAATAACTATTAATTATTAAGAGGTCCATTGTCATTAAGGGCCGGTTTGATAGCATCAAAATCGGCTGTTTTGACTGATTCTGCTGAAATTTATGAAGTTCTAGCTGAAGTGGCTGCATTGCCTGATTCGGTTGATTTAAGAAAAAATTATTTTTAAAATATATTTTATAAATAAAATAAAGAAAAAATTATATATAAAAATAGCTAAAATAGTCATCTACGGTAACTTCAGCCAATACAGCCAGAAAAGTAACTCTAACCTTACTTTTTCTGCTTATTACACAATTCAGCGCGCGCAAGCAAAAATTACGTATTTGGTGAAAAAATTGGCTAATAAACCGAAAAACAATGTTGCCAAACAGCCTCTAATTTTACAGAAAAATGACAATAGTTTCAAAATCTCACAAGAACTGGAGTACGTTTGTATGCACTTTCATTCTCTCAACAAAAAGTCCGAGAATGAATTTGTTTGCTGGTGATTCATTGCCTCATAGGTAATATGTGATGGTCGAAATGAGATAGTTTGTCTCTTTTCAACACTGATGGCACAATTTTTCTTAACCACGAGGTGTTTACGGTTTAGATATTAGAATCTCTTTACATGAACCGCGCGTGTAAAGAAAAACTAATATTCTTGATTGAAACATTGAAACTTAATTATATGTTTTTGAATAAACCTTCGTATTCAACTTTAATTACATTTCAATTTATGTCATACCATTTGTTGATGCAGTGAGAAAAATGATATAAAACAATCATGAGCCACATCATATTGTATGTAGTAATAAATACTTAAAAAGTACTTTCATCAATTTGCTTCAAAATGGACATACAAATTGGCTTCTCGCGGACAATGTGATATGAAAAAATATGCTACGTATATCAACTTGAGATATTACAATCAAGAAAAAAGATCAGGTGAGAAGCGCCTCTTAAAATGAGAAGTGAGAAGTAATCTTAATCCTTGGATTTGCATCTGATCTTACAACACAGTAAAATTATAGACTAAATATAGAAACTTATAACCAATAAATCATAACTTATAAAGTTCTCCATAATAATTACGAAAATGCCACCGCATAAAAAAAAATTCCAGGTTTCCGTAATTATTTTTTTGCGGTGGCATTTTCGTAAATATTTTCGAGAAGTCTAGAAGTTATGATTTATTGATTAAAAGTTCTTATATTTAGTCTATAAGTTCAACTTCGCAGTTCTCAGCTTAAGATCACTTCTCACCTGATCCGCTCTCTTACAGTCAATTGTAAAAGGCATCCCAAAAGATAACACATTTGTGGTTCTGAAGTTTGAGACTTCAAGTGTAGGGAACAAACCATTATTTGAGAGATCTAGCAAGTACATGCACTGGAACAAACCATTATTTGAGAGATCTAGCAAGTACATGCACTGGACCACTACAGTTGATGCGTATTATTTAGTAGTTTGGGAGCATAAGGAAGGAGCATTGGACCACATTTTAGAATGGTTTTACATTATGTTTACTTAGCTTTTTGTACAATTACGGTGTAATCTTTATCTTCTAAAATTAAAAAAGAATTAGAAGATATTAAGATATTTTGACATGTAAGCAAAAACATGATGAAAAGAAGGGGAAGGAGCTTGGGAGCATAAGGAAGGAGCATTGGAGACAAGAGGAAGCTTATGGAGGACAAAGATGAGTGAAAAATCGGATATGATTCAACCCGGAGATTATAAGAGATCAAATAAAGAAAGTGAACATGGGAGGTCTCGAGTTTGAATCCCACTATGCACACAAGGGTTTGAAACTCAATAGAGTGAGTTTCAGCCCTGATTACTCCAGGCTCCCCCCCCCCCCCCCCCCAGACCCCCCCCTGGAGTAAAAAAAAAAACAAGTGAACATGGGAAAATCAGATTATGTCTTAGACCCAACCACCTCACTTCTCCTATAAAAACACCTCTTTCCTTCCTATTTTAGATACCAATTTAATCCCCTCTTTCATATACACTTTATTCTTGTAATTTAGGTAGTCTTTCCATCTTGGTTTTGCTACTTTGAAGCTTAATGAATTGTAAGTTGTGAGTTATTTTCTTTAATCTTCTTCCTTGAATATTAATTTTTCCCTTAATACTATCTCTATATTAATGTTGGGGAGTGTTACTAAGATGACAATTAGTTAACATCTCGACATTAGTTAGAGTAGTATTTATTTTCTTCCTCTATATTAATGTTGGGGAGTGTTACTAAAATGACAATTAGTTAACATCTTGACATTAGTTATAGTAGGATTTATATCTTCTTTAATATTCTTCCTTGAATATTAATTAATTCTTATTCATATTTCATTTTAATATTTTGAGCATTACTTAAAGGATCAACTAGTTTTGTCTCATATATTAATTATTACTAGAATCAATCGACGAATACGCCTGTTAATCGTTCGATCTTTTCACGGTAGTAAACTTGGATTATTAATGCATGCGTCTCATGGTTAATAATCTAAGGGGAATTAATTATATTGATCAAACCAATAAACCGCTTGTGTTGAGCTTATCAATTTCAATCGTTTTCATCTTGAATTTATTGCTACTATCGAGTAAATATACGGTGCGTGTTCTATATTAATTCGGTAGTAAGTTTTATTAATGAACGTGTCTCGTTATTAATAACTACCCTCGATGAATTGGATATACTCCTCGATTGAGTATTCGAGAGGAAGATAGTTAAAGATATAACCGGGATCGACGAACATTTCATTAAGTGGATAAAAGCAAAACCAAGACTAATTACCTTTGATATTTTATTTCACTCATTTAAGTATTTTATTTGCTTTCTCAATTATCAAAATATCCAATTCCCCCTTCCGTTTACTTTTATTTATTACGCTTACACATACGCGAAAAGTTCATTTCCCTGTGGATACGAACTCTACTACGCTATACTACGATATTAGCCCTTAGTAGTGAATTTAATTTTAGGCACACTACGACAAAGTGCTCGTCAACAGTTTGTGGAATCGGAATTCCAAAACAAATCATCAAATTTTGGAGCTAATATACTGAAATAAATAAATAAATTGAAACCATAAAAGATATTTGAAATCACAAGACCTAGAGAAGGGCACTGGCACACTATGGTCTGCACTCTGCAGTAGGGAACTGATTTTATTTTAATTATTATTGGCTACCCGATTTATAGAATTCATACATTGTATGATACTCCGTATTATTGTGGGTGTTCATTTTAATATATTTACCTTTCATTAAAAAAACTACCCAAATGTGATGTTTAATTTTGGATGAAGCGTATAATATCGAGTTTCATTACAGATCCTATTTCATGTTTCATACTTCAAATTGGTAGAAATCCTACTATAGAACGAATGTGAAATGAAAGAAGGGATTGGAAAAGTGAAGAAGATTTAAAATTGTCCAAATCGTCTTCTTATTCCTGTTAAGTTCAAAAAGAAATACGAAGTACATAAAATTGAAGAAAATGATTGAACCAAGGATAAAAAAAAATAAAAATTACTTTTGAAAGATAGGTTAAAGATATAAATTATCAACCATGTGGGATACAACACATTTCCAAATGTTGGGAATTTTAAAAGGTGCAGTTAAATAAAATTCTCCATTCGCATTAAAGTTATCTCACCTTTCCTTTTCGGACCTTTAGGTCCTTCTCATTAGATTGTCACATATCAAATTTGATAAAATTTTTGTAATTCTAAATCATTTTAACTTTATTTTACTTTAACAATTCAATATCAACCACAAAAATCATTTTTTTCTTAATAATCGCATCATCTTTTAATATCTCAATGTTAGTGGTACTCGGGTGGATGCCAAAGAGACATATTTAAGCCTTTTGAAGAGTTTTATTACCTGAGTTCTAACTTCAGATTATAAAATGAAAAAGGTGTTCACGTATAACGATAAAAATTTAAACATTTTCTTTATTTTTAAAAATGAAATTCTAAAAATGTTATTTTGATGATATTTAGTCATATATTGCACCTTTTTGTGGCTAAGTTTTGCTCCACATAAAATTATTGTATGAAATTGTGTGTCCCGTGCGATCTAGTTAAATAAATAAATAAATAAATAAATAAATAAATAAATAAATAAATAAATAAATAAAGAAACAAACAAACAAACAAACAAACAAACAAACAAACAAAGAAACAAACAAACAAACAAACAAACAAACAAACAAACAAACAAACAAACAAACAAACAAACAAACAAACAAACAAACAAACAAACAAACAAACAAACAAACAAACAAACAAACAAACAAACAAACAAACAAACAAACAAACAAACAAACAAACAAACAAACAAACAAACAAACAAACAAACAAACAAACAAACAAACAAACAAACAAACAAACAAACAAACAAACAAACAAACAAACAAACAAACAAACAAACAAACAAACAAACAAACAAACAAACAAATAAATAATAAATAAATAATAAATAAATAAATAAATAAATAAATACATTTTTAACTTTATATGAATAACTAAGAATAACAATGAAAAATGATTGATGCAAGTAGTGTCGGCTTCAGACTTTGTTATAATCTTTTCTCCAGTAACCATTGGAACTATGACATTGATCTTTTGCCTGTTACCAATTTTGGGTTTATCAGTTTCAATTTAATCATAGTGGCCCTCAACATCAATGGCAACGACAGAAGATTGCAGATGATGTGTCTTTAATAAAGCAACTACAAAAGCAAGGATAAAGTTGGAAGTATCTGAGTAGTCAACTGGAGGATCGTAAAGCAGAATATAAAGAAAGGAGAAGGCAGTCAATCTACAAGAACACAGATGATGTTAGGCTCTGGGGTCTGAATAGTCAGTCAAGTCTTTGACAGCTTTGCTTGGACGAGTTTGTCCAATATTGCAGGCTCCAAAGGAATGGGATCTAGGCACCGCTCCGTGGCAGCAACGATGACCTGAAGAGTAATACTTGTTTAAATCTCAACTTTGGCTGTCTAAAGATAATAATAATTATCCAAATACATATTCGCCTACTTCATCGAGTAAAAAGTCCACAGCAGCTTCATCTTCAGCAGCTTTCTTCAGAGAAGTCTTCAGGAAATGGAAGTCCAGCTGAATTTGCTGAAACCCACTCCGGTTGTATGTCTGAAGCCTGGCAATCTCTTGCAAACTTTTTAAGCAAAGTTTGACAATTGTAGTCATAACTGATTCCTGCAACATTAAGGGGTCATTTTCGAACTTGGGTGATACCAGGGAAAGGAAATGGGATGACAGGGCAAGCAATTTGGGGGAGATTAAAGATTCCCTCGAACAAAATAAATTATACGGAGTACGTAGTACATTACATTATATTTGTATGAAGGGGATTTATGTAATATTACTAAAATAGAATTCATGGATAAAAATATGGCAACATGGTCACTAGGTCATTTGGAAACTACCAATGACTAAGGTAATTACTGTGATTACTGTGAAAATACCACTACGGTCACATATTGTGTTCAAACTCATTTCATTAGTTTGTATCCACACTTGCATAAACAAAAATATATATAAATATATTTCGAATTTATAAATAATTAATCATATTTAGATTGCACTTCGTTTGATAGTGAGGGTTTCTTCACCGAGCAAATCTTCCCATACTCGGGAGATGAATTTCTTGGTCATGCTTCAGAAGGCGAGAAAAGGACTCCTATTTCATCAGTTGAGGACCTATGGGACTCTGATTCCAATCACAATATTTGCAATAAAGCTATGATGGTCACGAGGGATAATTGCTTACCTACAGAGAATTTAAACACTCAAATTAAAGTGTACTGAAGAAGAAAGCATCACGGTCACATGTAATGAAGACTAGATCTCAATCATGAATGGAGTTCTGCCAATTTGACTGAGCTGTTAGGGCTTCTAGGGAGGGTTTTTTGTCGTAACTAGGGTTGGTTATTTTGTATCTTCGACTCTTATTTTTTGTTATTTTCCTTCTGTATCTTGTTTTTTCTTTTTCATATTTCTTTTATGTACTTTTCCTTTCTAGTTTTTAATAAAACTCCTCTTTAAAAAAAAAGATTGCGCTTTTCAGGGCAAATCCAGATAAGGAAATAATTTCTCACAATTTAGCAGACCCCAAACTCTTGAGACTAAGGCTTCAATGTTATATAGTTTGTCTTTCATCACTAAACTGCGGAATAAACGGGCGAAAGAGTTTTTTAGAGCAGATTTTAAAATGCAGCATATTAAGCAGAAAAAAGACCAAACCTGTGTGTGTTCAACTTTGGTAAAGATTTCCATTTTTTGCTTAAACAATTTTGCTAGATGAGTCTCCAGAAGCTGACTCCTGGCTCTCTGGGTATTAGACCGGCTCAACCTATCATCTCTTAGTGGATTGTTACTGCGTGAAGAAGCAGTGCTTCCATTGCTATCAGTACGTTGATGTTTTCTGTGAAGCCCTTCGGGTAATAGCTGCTTTACTTCACTTCCTACTGCATCCAACTACCAACGAAATTTATTTCATGAAATTTTCTTAGACCAAGTATCTTTCCCTGTTAAATACAATTGGAAAAGAGGTCCAAAACTCCTCTACCATTACAAATCAATCACCTAAACCCCAAAAGTATCATATAAGCACGCTTACTTTGAAAAACACTCATTCTAGCCGTTTTACAAGTTTTTAACCTTTTACAGCAGGTTACTTTCATATTATTGAAAAAATTGAAAGAGAAAAAACTGAAATACAAATAGAGAAAACTTGTAAAAATTGAAAATGTCAGAACTATAATTTTATGTGCTTTTTGAAATTGTTTGTATATCCTACATCTAAAAAATGCATTTTCATTTTTAAATTTTTTAGTTTGAACCCCATTTTATTGTCCAAATTGGACTTTGCATCCCGTTTTTTAAATTTGTTTTTGCACCCCAACCCTGTATGAAAAGACAAATATGCCCCTTGATCAGGAATATGAAGGCCAACATAATTGTTAACGGAGGGGCATTTTTGTCTTTTCATACGGGGTTGTGGTGCAAAAACAAAGATTTTTAAAAACGGGGTGCGAAGTCCAATTAGGACGATAAAATGGGGTGCAAACTCAAATTACCCCTTTTAATTATATATTTTGACTTTTTAGATTTTTATGTTTTATTTTAATGTATTAAAACTATTCATCTTGACATTTTTACTACTTTATACGTAGTGTTTATTTTTCTCTGTTTTTAAAAGTATTACGACTTTACAAATTTCTCATTTTTTGAAATACCTGCTATAGAAGGTCAAAACTGCTAAATGGTTGAGTGATTGTTTTTACAAAGTGTGCTGATATGATGCTTTTTTAGTGTATGGGGTCAAGAGATGAATTTGAAATACTGGAAGGTTCCATTTCAACCTTTTCTTAATACAATTTTGTAGACTATTTATTGCTATCATCTATGAGCTCACCTGTATATTCTTCAAGATAAGAGAATAGGACATGATAAACTAATTGCGGTGGGAAAAAGAGGTGGTCTACTTACCTCTTGAAGGAGCAAATCAACAAACATATGGACTTCCCTTGGCTCCTTGTGCTAGATGCATAAGGTAGTGCAGTATTAGCACAAGCTAAAGAATAATTTAAAAAATAGATCACCTGTATTTGTTTTAAAAAAAAATTAAAACTAAAAATAATTAATTCACCTTGATCCAATTGGGAGTCGCAAACCTCTTCTTCAGTACAACTGATAATTTCTGAGTTCTCATATTTATATACTGAAATGAAAGAGGTCTGAATCATCATGTGTGCTTAACATGAAAAAACAGGAATTATGTACTGCCACTGCTAAGACAAGCAGTGGGAATGTCAGATTACCATGGGAATGTCAGATTGTTGGGTATGTTAGATTGACGTGAATGTATTCAATTTATTCCCACTTGTGTTTGGTTAACATCAAGGGAATGTCAGATTGCTGGTTATGTTAAATTGATGAATTACTTTTATGCCCTTTAAATATCTTCTCTTAACGGAATAAATCTATTACATTATACATCTAAAGTGATTAAAATTAAAGAAAAAATGAATATCTTAATATTAAATAAAATCAAACCTAATTGAATTATTTTTAAGTAAAATATGTTTAATTGTAAAAAGTTGTAGATCCAATACAGAAATGAAAAAAAAACTTTGTTCAAATAGTAATATAAATATATTTATTATCATCTAAAAAAAATTAATATTTAAAAATGATCAAGTTAATTGTAACAGTTGTTTTCAAAATGAAGAAAAAATGACCAACTTTGCTACTAAATTTTGAAATCCACTAATTAAAACTTAAATAATCTATAACTCTTATAACATAAATACCTTAAAAAATTAAAATGATAAGGAAAAAAATTATGCAAATAACAAGAATAGACATTCAAATATAATCAATACTCCTTCCATCCCACCTAAAAGGTAGTACACAATTTACGATGTTCGACAGACCATGAAATTAAACTAACCGATCTCTATCAATAATAAGATTATTTTTAGTAAATAAAATTTACATATTTAGAGACTACATTAAAATTTTTATAAAGTCACAATAAATCAAATTTGATAACAATTGAATATATAAAGAAATTAAATGAAAAGATATCATTAATTGAGGGTATTTTCGGAAGAATATCAGATCACCCCGGGAATGTGAGATAACCTAAGGCATAGACGGGTTTAAGATTCCCATCCATATTACATTCCCGGGAATGTAACTTCCCCGAATTTTTTTCAAACCCGTGAACCAAACAAGGGTATCTAACATTCCGTGCATCACATTCCGGCCTTCATGTGAGATCACCCCCAACCAAACGGACCCATAAGTATCTATTCTTTTCCATGAAGATTAAAAACATCAGAAAGCTTTGATATATTGGTGACTTGTGGGTTGCTTGGCATAAGCGACTGGGTGGAATTTAACTACCTGGCACATCCAGACCATGTTTACTTCACATACAGTCTTACATTTACTCTAAGCCCCCAAAATGGTTGTGAATTGTGGGAAACTGACAGCGTTATCTTTATTTTGGGGAGGGTGGGGGCAATTTCCTGGATTGTGCACATGAAACTCTACATTTTGAGCCCCCTCTTACCCTTAGGAAGCGCATAAATGCCTCATTGAATTATTGATACTACTACACTTCAAACATATATTCAGATTCCTCCATAGAGAAACATGTAAAGTAAATTTTCGTTTACTATTATGGCAGCCCAGTCCACATTGGCTTCCTCGCAAGTTGAGGGCCCAGGGAAGGGTCCCACCACAAGGGTGTATAAGAAGCAAGCTTTCCCTTCTCATTTTGACAAAAGGCTGCTCCCAAGACTTGAACCCGTGACCTCTCAGTCACACGGCACACTTCCCCTTAGTAAATTTTCGTTTACTATCTATAGTCAAAAAAATTGAGCGCTGAGCAGCTTCAAGTTCTATTGTTCTAAGCTGGAATATAAGTTCCAATACATCACTGGATGCTATCAGATTAAATATATACGCAATAAATCAATAAATAAGCGGTGAAAACAAGAAAGTATAGTGAGTGAGTGTGTGTGTGTTTGTGTGTGTGTGAGTGTGTGTACTGTGTATATAAACACAATCACATATGGATGCAAAAACCCATTGCATGTATTAATGATAGAGAAGCTACACTTCATACCATGTTCAAGAATGTTTCACTTGCAGATCGGAAGGTGCGGCAAATTTCAGCAGGGATAAAAGCTGGGCCATTTTCATACCCCCGAGCTCCACCAGAAAAAGAAACAGCTATTTCCTGAACTCAAACAAAACCCTATAAGGTTTCAAAGTTATACAGAAAGAATATAATGCGCCAAAAGTTAGAAAACCTGATACTGTAAGCTTCAACGAAATTCCTTGCCTCTGTGATTCTAGGGATGACAGTTCTTTCAATGGAAGCAGAAAGTTGAGAGAGCACAAGAACAAGTCCAGGGAGAATTTTGTCACCCTGCATATGCACTCCAGTGTTTTGATCAGGTCCAGAAAAATGCTTCTTTCCTGAAAGCAAGAGAAAATGATCCTCAAGTTTCCAGAAGAAGTCTTGAAATCCTTCTTGCACCCAGTCAATAATCATTTCTCGCAGTTTAAATAGCATTTCCATGTCCTCGTCAAGAAGAAGTCGAAAATCCTGAAGTACATAATCCAATTAAGAAAAATGACACATAGTGGATGCAGTTTGTGCACAAGTAATATATGAATTATTAGAAATGTTGTTCATTTTAAATCCTAAAGGGCAGACTAGATTTGAATCAAAGCATCATCACTATATAAAGAAATCCCTAACCCCTCTCCCTGTTTGACTGTATTTATTACTTTAACGATTCAAACTTTCCTGGGGAAGTTGGTAACATGGTCAAAGTAATTTGAAGAAAGAATATAATATCAGTGAAGGATGGATCTATAAAAGAATTTAAGAATGTCTAAAAGATTCAACATGAAAGAAATGACAAAGTTTGAGTAGCTGAATAACAATATATACAGTTCTTCACACACTTACATTTAACACGTATGGATATCAGTTATAAGAGCAGCACGTTAGTATTATATTTGGTTTCACATTAATTAGGAACATCTTCCACCTCTAAAACAGCTTTTTTAAAGGTACAATTAAAATGACAAACCCATATAAGCCGTTTTAAGGTTATTGAAAAGCACTTCTTGAAGTGATAACTTTAGCTCTTTTTTCCAGACTAGGTATATGTGCTAGCAATCGATTTTCACCTGTAACACATCTGAGCTGCCTTCAGATAACGCTCTTTTACTGGACTCAAGTGCTGCCTGCAATGTAAATTCTTCCTGTACTCCCTTCTGTTTATCTCGGAGCTTCTCCAGAGCTCCTGCTAGTTAAGATGGAAGGGAATCGTCATTCAGGTCCCAGCAACCCATGTAATGAAAAACCTAACTTGAACTTGATCTTTTATTACAAGGGTCGTATACTCCTAGCAATCATGCCTCTGCGGAAACTACTTATCAAGTTCTTTAAAACTCAAAATGCATTACAGCGTCAAATATAAAGTTTGAAACACAGCATCAACTATCCAAACAATATACACATCACTCTTGTTTCTGGTTTCATAATAGGGCAATCCTTCTCAAGTTTCACAAGTCAGATTCTTAAGGATCCATTTGGAAAATGAAAAATACCAGGAAGAGAAATTAGAAAGAAATATAGGGAAGATAATTGGGAGGAAAGAAACTTGGGGGATAAAAAGACTCAAACCAAATCATTTTTGTGTTATAATTGTTCAAACTCGTTGATTTATTCATTTTTCATTTATTTCTTTAAAAAATGACTAAGAAATATTATGATATTTAATTTTTGAAAGAAGATATTTATATTTCATTTGCATTAGCATTTTTCAAGATGAAGCCGAACATAAGAAAATAACTTCACTCAGCATTGGTTTTCCTTCCCTAGCATTTTCGGGATCCAAACATACCCTGAAGGTATCCTATCAGATATTTGCCTTCATTTTGACACTCATAACTACTACGTATGACTGACCTGATATATCAAAAAGAAGATGACTGAATCTGCTGATGACATATTGTTTAATTGAAACACGAGCAGCCTGGAAGAAAGTTGGACCAATTAGCATACCCCACAGCAACTAAGAAATCAGAACAGTTACCGCATGTAACGTACAAATGGAGTTGGATGCGTAGAGCAGTGACTGACAAGTCTGACAGTAATGTAATACCATGAAAAATTTACAATAGATACCTCCAATAAGAAGTTAATCAGACCAGCCTCCGGTAACACTTCATCCATAATGAGCACATCAGTCCAAATAACCCCTATGGAATGGTTGCACGAAATCAAAGTATGTTGCTCTTGATTATTAGTAATCCTATGAAAGAATTTATGGCATGCAACCCCCCACGTTAAGAAATTAATATAAGCAAGGAAAAAAATGCAGCTCTTTATTTGAGTAGTGGAGCAAGCTGTATAAGGAGGGAGGAGAGGGGGGCTTCAAGTTAGTTTATCTGTCCATGTCATTCAAAACAGAGCAAACAGTGCAAAAGAGGTAAAGAATATAAAACGATACTATGTAAATTAAAATCAACACCATTGATGTCACAAAAAGTTTTGGTTAGTAAAAAAATTATTTGACATTGATAGCAAGTAACTTATTTCCATCATTTGCGATGGAGCCAGAGATTCATTATTTTTTAGCTTGAGAATATGATGGAATAAAGCAAAACGATTCACTAAACTGTCTGCGCTTCTTTGTTATGAAGCAGCAGTCAGTCCATGCAATTTTGAACGCGATTTTCACTATGAGTCATCCGGAAACAGTCTCTCTGTGCTTTAGTACATCTGACCCCCCCCCTACCCCACCGTAGGTGGGAGCCTTTGTGGCACTGGGGTAAATGAAAATGATGATGATGATGATGATGATGATAGCAAGTAACTTACGCAAAATTGATAATAGATCTGTGCACTGAAGCTTCTTGACATGGTGTTCAATGGCCTCAAAGTGCCTACATTATTTTCAATTGACCATTGGATGTTTTTTGAAAGGAAAAAAAAAACTATGAAAGAAACTTTGCGGAATAGAGGGAGATTCAGATGAAATAAATCATTTGGGAGAAAGTAACCAGTATTTGGACATACTTCTTAACTAAATCTTCTGCAAGTGTAACAAGTTGCTTCTCGGAATCAGGGAAGATAACTTGATAAGCACGGATTGCCTCAGCAAATTCACGTATAGAAGCCTAAGCACGGATAGCATACAGTTACCAAAAAATTGACAACAAATAGTAATCCAGTTGTAGCAAAGGTGTAAAAAAACTTCTGGAGACATATCGACGCTATCTCTCTAACTTACCTGTTGAAAAGAAGTTGGGTCTACGATATTTCCTTGGTCAGGGGGGGGATCATGAATCAAAGAACTATGCTTTAATTCCTTCGATTCGAGATGCAGGTCCACAAGGAACTGTTCCAACTTTTCATATAGTTGCACCTTCAAATTCTCAACCTGATATTAAGTAACTAAAAAATTGATGTTAGACAGTTAGACCATTAGCAAAAACATCAAAATGAGACAGATTTAAATAGATTATTTATATTTCCATATACCTGCTTATGCACTTCAAATAAAATTTGTACCGACACTATAGGCAATGCAAATATGTTTTTACTAATACGAGGATGAAAAGAAAAACCACATATTGATGAGACAAATTAGAGAATATGCATACTTAGGATGTTTTTACTTGGACTGTAATTTGCTGGTCTGGTCTGGTCTGGTAAGGTCTGGTTTCTTTGTATTTTTATAACTATCCAAGTCTGGTCTGGTCTGAACTGGTCTGGACTGGACTGGTCTGGGGCAAATTACAGTCCAAGTAAAAACATCCTTATAGATCAATAACATGCAAGAGAGAAATACAAACCGGGTAATTTAGCTGCTTGAGGAGCATAACACCCTCAGCTCTTGCTTGAATAGATTCAGAATCAGAAAACACCTTTCCCTGGAGGCAATTCATAGGTTAAGAAATCACCTTGTAAGTTACAGGAATTCTTCTCTTCTCAAAGAAAAGAAAGCTAAGACTCTCTTATCCCCTATTAGAAGTGAGGATATAATAAATAAAATAACAGAGAATGACCTAAGCATTTCTGTTCTCGGAGAAATCACAGAATTTGGTGTTGTGCTAAGTGTCTAGCTATATGTTACATACTTTCATGCATTACAAAAATGAAGAAAAGATAGAAATAAAAAAATAGCAAGGAAAATAAGAATCATAAATAGAAAGGGAAATGCCTCCAAGTTCTTCACAATGACAGACACTGCTTCTTCTGATGCTCGCTTACAATCCTGGAAAGATGAATCCCCATATGCCTGATGTTATAGAAAAAAAATATATATATGGTGAGAAATGAAAGAAACAAGGAACAACATAACTAAATGGAGAATTTCATGGAGAAGTAGAGGTGATATCAATAGAATGATTGTTTGTTATTCCAAATTACAATGATAATAAACTAACCTTAAAGATTGGCATTGCTCCAGTATAGTATTTCACTGCATCAGCATAGGCTTCTGCTTTGATACACTTTGCTAGTCTAGTGGGTAGGTCATATATGAACTGCTCTTGTCCAGTTGTCCAGACACACACACACAAAAACATGAAATCTGGTGTAACTCATGTCATTTCAAAAGCAATTATTAACACAAAGCATGAGGCCTAAGATTAAATCATAATCCATATTTGTTGTTGCTATCATCCTAAACTGAAAAAATCATTAGCCCCTCGAGGTTTGATGTACAAGGGCTTGGGAGTTGGGGTTACATTAAAAAAGATTAACTTGATAGGAGGAGCAACTCAAAATCTTATATATTACATCCATTTTTAAATAATTGCAATATGTTGAATTTTACACTATTCACATGTCCTATTTGATTATATTTTATTTATCAATTTATTTGATATGAATCTTTATAAATATTTTTAAACTCCTTTCATTTTAAACTTTCAAAATCTGAATTTTTATTTTTTTTATTAATAGCAAATTAAATGTATTACTGTTCAAAGTTGTGTATTGGCAAAGGTGAAATGGAAGTGCTGCATTTAGAAAAGAACCGAGGGAGTACTAGATTATTCTTTTATACTTTGTACGGAGTAATAAACTAGTGTGGGACAAATACTTGAACATGTAGCCTCAGACAAAACCGGATTGGATACCTTTAGGGCCTGTTTGGATGGAGTGTTTGGAAGTGTTAGTAATGAAAATGTTAGTAAGTGTTAGTAAGGGCTCGGAAGGGAAGGGAAGTGTAAGTGTTAGACATAATTTTACCTAGTTTGGGAGAGTCAAATGAATGAAGTGTTAATAATGGAAATGTTAATAATTTTACCTTGAGACAAAAGAAACGAGTAAAGAGAAGAGATGAAAAAACAAACCATCAGACCCGTGGGAAAGACATTCGAAGTGAAATGTCGAAGCATTTTATGTTTTTCGGGTAAATGAGAAGGGTAATAATTGTCCAACACCTCAAAACACTCCAAATCGGGGTGTTAAAAAAATGGACAATTGAGGTGTTGGGAAGGTTATTATTAACACTTCCTAACCATTACTAACACTTCTTAACACCTCTGGATTAACACTTCCATTAATAACACTCCTCAACACTCAATCCAAACAGGCCGTTAGTGTGGACGAATGGGCTCAACTGCCTAACAGAACCTAAACAGACTACTCAAAATCATAAGTATCAAACAAACAATAAAATAATAACTGGACCTAGCTTAGATATCATATAAAGACCTTGGATTCCATCTTTACAAATCAATCTGGTCGGAAGAGAACTACAGAATTACATGTACCAAAGACATTCCCAAATTATCAACTAAATGTGACTGGCATAGAGTTTAAGAAAAAGAAATTTGCATGGTCGAAACTTGTACAAAAGAGAGGGAAATGTGATAGTAACCGTTCATGAAGCCTTAAAGTACCGCTCTAGTATAACTGGAACTTGTTGGTGGTAGAGGAGTGGGAAAATGGGAATGTAGAACCCTGAAAAAATCTCTTATTATTCATTTTAACTTGCTCCCCACTAGGACTTTCATGGAGTTCAAGTATAAAATTCAATAAGTAATGAATAGAGTAGATGTAATACAAAGGTAGGAAAAGTAAGAAAGTGAATAGCTGAAAAAGTAGGGACAATTATGTCTTCCAATTTTTTGTAATTTATAAAAGGGAAAGCGGAGATAGTGGGAAAAGCTTCTATGAAAGGAAAGTGGAGCAAGTAAAAATAAACCGAGATAATCCAAATATACAACTGTACAGGTGCAATACTAAAAAGCATTTATTTGAGTGTATGTTACTGATAGTCAGGGATGGATTTAGGGGGGGCGCGGGGGGGCGACCGCCCCCCTTGGACATTCAATTTTTTTAACCATATATGTAATATTTTCATAAAACTTTCATAATTTAATTAGATTCGCCCCCCTTAGCTTTTAATTTTCATAATTAATATATATAGTCTTACATAATGTAATACTTAATTGGAGATTTAAAAGAAGAAACATCTAAAATAATTTACATTACTTAAACAAATAAACAATAGAGTAACTCGTTATTTAAGATTTAGGATACTTATTATATAAGAATTCCTAGTTTTGTAATGTTTAATTATCTTTATTAGATAACAAGTACTGGATTTCGTAAAACATATATCAAACAATATTAAATACCAGACACACTAATTACACAATTTTTAGATCACGTGAAATGAATCCAAAATATAAATATTTATAGACATTAGATTACATAATTCATTTACTTCTTGCTTTCTAAAAATATTTTATTGCATGGATAATAAACTCTAAATTATTATAGAATTAATAAAAATATTAAAATATAATATGCACCATATATGTGTGTGTGTGTATGTGGTGCATATTATTCTAAAAATAACAATCTCATACATACTAGTATACTACTATTGTAATATTAAGAAAACTTCTCATGAGTCATGACTCACGAACACCCTCTTTGGTGGACAAAAATTACAATTCAATAACCGATTCATGAGGTTAAACAATGTAGAAGTTATTAAAAATGTATTGGTTGATGTCTTTGTCATCGTCTAAACTTAGAATGTAATAGATTTAAATGTCGTTCGGGATGTGCATGCATTAATGTCATTTTTTGAATAAAAATAGCCGCATAGCCCTACAGTAGTGAAAAAATTTTGCCCCGCTATACTAGGGAAAAAAAATTCACCCGCTACACTAACAAAAAAATTCACCCCCTACACTAACGAAAAATTTCGCCCCCCTTGACTCAGAATCCTGGATCCGTCCCTGCTGATGGTTTAGGCCTTTAGGGGTCTAGCTGATATTACACAAGACCTCAAAGGAGGTCTAATTTGTTACCCTGTCCTAGATGATAATTTTTTAGAACTTCCTGCCTTATGGAACTCAGTAATTGTTAGCTTCAATTGGCAGAAAGGTAGGCTAGACAAATTTTACTGATCCGTCATTGTAAGGGAAACTATGGATCTAAGTAGCATAGATTGAAATTGATGCGGCATTAAAAAACACCCCAACATTCTTTGTTCATGATGGAAAGAAGGGATTGAGAAGTATTTACGAATCAAGACGATACCTGAACTTTACGAAGAAAATTCCCTGTGCGGTGCAACTTTTCTATGTGTTCTCTCTTTTCATATAAAGAAGTATTAACCCCATCACTTCTAGATTGCACAGACATTATCTGCAACATTTTGAAAATAAAAAAGTGATCTTTTATGAAATCCTACTTCATTATACACACACACATTGATATATACACACACATACGCACAAATTATGATTTAAGTAAATCATATACTCCCTCCGATTCATAAAGAAGTTCCACCTTTCCTTTTCGGGCAGTTCCAAAATTAAGTTCCACTTTCAAACATTTCCTTATTTGGCAAATTATCTCCATCAAAACAGTTCCAAACAGTGTCAAACGGTGCCAAACAGTGCACTCCACAGTAAAGACAAATTTCTTTTCTTAATACGTGCGAATTCAAAACCGGAACTTCTTTATGAATTGGAGGGAGTATATTGTATAGATGTGTGTGCTTGTGTGTCTTTTTATCTTTCCATGATTGAGATTGTCAATCTATACTAACTAGTCCCTACAGAAATAGCTATAAAGGACCTTTTCAAGAAGCTGTTCCATATTTGTTTCCATGCCTACTATGTTATTATTCATCCTGAGACCAAAACAGAGAGAGAGAGAGAGAGAGAGAGAGAGAGAGTACAAAAAATTAAACAAACAGTAAGTTAATTAACAACAGTGAGTTAGATGCAACCATACTCCAATAACGATTATTCATTCATACGCGTTCAAAACTCTCATACTACAGACATGGTTGTTTCATATTTTGCATATTCAATTGTACTTTTGCTCCAAAAATTGATATTTATATAAAATATCAAATTACAAGCCAAACTTAGACAAAGCTTTTACCTTTTAATTGTATCTGTTGCACTTATGAACTTGTTGTAATTCTCGTATACTAACATTTGCAAGTCAGTGTCTAAGTTTTTTATCTCAGCGGCCATTTCAACATGCCTCTGCAGCAATCCCTCCAAATTAGACTTTTGAACCTAAAATAAACGTGCAAAGTCAAGGATTTCAATTGTGATTAGCACAAGAGGGGGGGTGTTTATGCCAGTCTGAAGCTAGAAATGAAGCCCTACCAGCAGATTCATGTATTGATCAGCGTCAAAGGAGGCGGTGTTAATGGTATCCAGTGTGGCAAATCTGGAAGAAGCATTCGGAGGAGCAGAAGTCGAAGATGGGTCGAGCGAGTAGAAACTCGATAGCAAATCTCTCATTCTCTTTGCCTTGCTGTCCAGCAGCTCATCATCTACCCCCATTTTTGTTCCTTCTCGATAATGTATCTATGGAATTCTTTGAGGCCGAGAGGGGTAAGGCAATGAGTATATGATTAGGAACCGCAACGGTAGAGACTAGAGAGCCCTTTTCCTTTGATTCGACTGACGATTCAGATGGCAAAATCAGAGAGATAACGGATCAATGAGCAATGTCAACAGATCAGCTGATGTTCCAATAACTTCAAGATGCATCATTGATTTCAGTAGACTTTCTACCGCTGCCTCAAACACTTCTGATGTGGGAAATTATGCATATTATTAGTAGGGGTGGGCATAAAACCCGAACCGAACCAGTACTGAGCCGTCCCGTAATGGTACCGAACCAAATACCGGGTATTTAAACGGTTCTATAGATTTTTGTCTCGTACCGAAATCGAACCGTTTGAAACGGGTACGGGACCGGTCCTAAATTTTGAGAACCGAAAAATACCGGACCAAACCGTTTGAAAATAATGCATTTGAATTTTTATATTTTTTCTATACCAATAGATCTCTTTTATAGACAAACAATTTTATTGCCCAAGAATGTATTCATGCGTTCCTAAACTAGCTAAATGTGTGTGTTTATATTATATGATATATATATTGTTATTTTTTCTTTTTAGATAATGTATGTTATATTTTGATATGTATTGAAAGAATATTAAAATTTCAGAAATCATTAAGGACTATTCATTTGATCGTTTCTAGTAATGTAGTGTACATGACTTTTTGTAGTGTCATGTATGCACAATTTTACAACTTAACTCATATGGTTTAAATCTTAGCTCTCAAGTTTCAACTATAAATTAAATTACAACTACGGAGAAATATTTAACCTAGAACGAAGAAGAACATTGAAGATTTCTATTATACGGAGTATTCAACAATTTGACGGTATTCTTTTTTATATTTTCACATGAACTTAGTAAATTAAAGATGATATTTATCTCGTGCGTCATCATTTTGCTATACTTTTTCTTAGTTGTGTTACACTATTTGTTTATTTGTGAACTTTAGTACTACATATGCAATTTCTTGTATTTATATCAACATTTCATGTGGATTGGTGTGAAGATATCTACTAATTGCAAGATTTGTTCAAAAACTTTAACATGTGTTTGGCATCATACCGTATCGTTTTGTACCGTTCCGAAACGGTATGGTACCTAACGGTTCCATCCTTGAAACCGGGCCGTACCAGACCGTTAAAAACTTAACGAATACATTAGGGGTTTTACTAGTTTACCGGACCGTTCCGGACCGCGTCCACCCCTAATTATTAGACCGTCAAAATAAACTAACGGCCTGTTTGGATTGAGTGTCGAGGAGTGTTAGTAATGGAAGTGTTAGTAAGTGTTGATGCTAACACTTGTTTGGAAGAAAAAACCAGAGGTGTTAAGAAGTGTTAGTAATGGTTAGGAAGTGTTAGTAATGGTTAGGAAGTGTTAATAATAACCTTCCCAACACCTCAATTGTCCATTTTTTTAACACCCCGATTTGGAGTGTTTTGAGGTGTTGGACAATTATTACCCTTCTCATTTACCCGAAAAACATAGAATGCTTCGACATTTCACTTCAAATGTCTTTCCCACGGGTCTGATGGTTTGTTTTTTCATCTCTTCTCTATACTCTTTCTTTACTCTTTCTTTAATACTTCCATTATTAACACTTCATTCATTTGACTCTCCCAAACAAGGTAAAATTATGTCTAACACTTACACTTTCATTCCCTTCTGAGCCCTTAATAACACTTCCATTACTAACACTTTCAAACACTCCATCCAAACAGGCCCTAACCCTGTCGATAAATCAAAGCCGGGCGTTGGTGAAAGTGTGAAACAAAACGGCTTACAAGGATGTTTTTACTTTGGACGGTAATTTGGTAGTCTAGTCTTATCCGGTCTGATCAGATTTTTTTTTTTGTATTTTTATAACTATTCTGATTTGATCTGGTCTGATCTGAGACGAATTACCGTTCAAGTAAACCCTAAAAATATCCTTACCTGATGCTCGTATACACCTAATGCACGCTCACAGGTCACACACATTTGATTATTTCCACCAAACTAGCTCGGAGTTCTGCGTTTCTTTTTACTTTAAATTAAATGTTCATTTGTATATCTAATTTTATTGGATGTGAGATAAAAATCTCAAACTTGCATATGTATTATAGAGTATTATATTCCAAACCTTATACAAATAGTTACTTTGGCACCATAATTTTATGTTACTTTATAAATACAATTTTTTGGAATAATTGCATAATTTAAAATATTCTAAACTTTCATAGAATCTAGTTAACATTCTAAAAGTTCATTTGTGAAATAAAACAAGGGGACAATATAATTTCAATTGCATTACATTTGTGAAAAATATATGACAATGGTACTAACATAACTTTTTAACACCAAAACTTTTTTTGCTTCAAAAACACCATAACTTTTTTTATAAATATAATTTTATGAAAGTGGTAAATTTTATACTCCCTGCTCTCGAAAGGTTTGTCAAATTGATTTTTCTTGATCAATGATGATGGTACCATGGAACACAATCATGGCCAAAGAACAAATTAAAATGAAGCCCGTTTACGGGACAGACCACTAATCAGGATTAATCACTAATAATAGTCGTTGGGCCTAATTAGAGATTCAGTCCGCGAAAGGAATCCACAATCAGGCCAATCTGGACACCAGCCCTCGAGCCTGGGCGAAAGGAATCCACAATCAGACCATCATTTAAGCATATTTACCTGGCAGCGGCAGATATGTAATGAAAGAAACTTAGACCTAGAGGAACAATGATTGCACCACGTTCGAAACATTATAGGACTCTTACTTGTGATTAAAGGTATTAGTGTCCTCTTAGAATACTAGAACATAAGATCTATAAATACTAGAACCCTAAATATACTTCCTGTGAATACTGCCTTACGTTGTCATCTGTTCTCGTAGATTAGCTCTCGTAGTTGGAATTAAACTCCATCAAATGACAATCAACTTTTATCAATGATATTTTTATATATGGAATTATTGTGAATATTAAAATTATACTCTCTCCGTCCCGAATTATAAGATACTTTTCGGTTTACGATGTTTGACCGACGATAAAACAAACAGATCTCTATCTGCATCACTGCACTCAAATTATTTTTAGAAAAAAAATATTACATATTCAGAAACTACATTAAACCCGCTACAAAACCTGCAAAAAATAATTCAAATTTCATAAAATTTTGATATATAAAGTAAGAGATTAAAAGTGATTTGTATTGACCAAGTGAATAGTAAAATATAGGCAGTGCCTTTACGTGTGAGACATTTGTAAAGGCACAATGAGGAACAGTCAGAGTGTGGCAGTACCTCATTATCTAAAATTTAATACTCCATCTGTCCCAATTTGTAAGACATTTTACGGTTTGACCGCGTATGATAGAGTTAGCTAGCCCATAATCGTACATTCTTACCTTAACTTTCTATGAAGAATCGCATTGCCTACAGGAATGAATCTCAAGTAACATGAAACAAACATACTACTACGTATAAAACTTCAAAAGTAGTATGCCGAAATCAGAACAAGTTTCCAAGGACAGGCACTCTATTAATCTATTTGGCACTCAAGAAGATGAGAATCCTAGGATCATTGCGTGTAAGGACAGCTACCGAATTCATTTGACATGGAAAGAATAACAATATATAGACATTGAAGAGTGGTTAGTCACACTATAAAAATTAAAATGACAGCAATATATGATTGAATAAATGCAAAATTTATATAGCAGATGCCTAGAGCACCACTTCTGAAAGATGCTCACATAAAAACACGTTACCATTTATAGTTTCTTTGCTGCTTGAAATGAAAAAAAGCCTATATATGAACTCTAATTACTTGGCATTGATCATCATCCCCTCTCTGTACTTGAAACATCACGTTGACAGTTCATATTTAAGCTACTAGTTGTGCTTGGCATAGGCAGTGCCTTTACGCGTGACTGTTCAGGTAATGAAGCATGTACTTTTGCCTTTAGCTGCTCAAGAATCCGATAAGCTTCTTTAAGTTCATCATCTGCATTTGGACCGTGGCATTCCCAAGCGTCTATAACTTTCTTTTGGAAGTTAATTGCAAGTTGATAGCTGCAAAAGAGGATACATGTCTAAAGTTGTTAAAACCCAAAATAGTGTGTTTTTCATCCAATATGTAAAGCAAGATAAGACATAGTATTATAGACTGAAATTTAACCCTTGAAATCTTCACTGAGAACCTAAGAGCTCTCCATGAAAGCTGCTGATTTTCTTTTTCCTGTTTCATTCTTGAAAGTTTTTCTTAAATGTACAACAACAACAACAACTAATTTTTGGCCAAATGCACAAAAATGACCCTGAACCTTTAGCCCAAAATACCACATCAACCTTGAACTCTTAAAATGTCCACTTTAGCCTTTAAATGCATTATTAGCTCAGTAATAACCCCGAACTTCACAGAAAGTCCTGTTTGACTTTGAGCATGCCAATTAGGTCCATGAGAGAGCCGTAGGTGATGATAAGATCAATTTCAATAACATTAAAAAACACATTATAAAGTCTATAAAATGTAGCCCACATTTGATTAAAGGTTTGAATACTGATCTTTTAATGTGTTTTTCTTGGCCTTTTTTATAAAGGCATTAGTGTTTAAAGTTCAGGGTCATTTACTGGATAAATGGTGACTATAATATAAAGACTTTGGAGAATATGCCTGAAAGTTTTCTGCATATATAAAATTAAAACACACACACTATGCATAGTGAATGAACCAAGAGAAAACATATTTCTTACCTTCCCATAGCAGCATAAGCTTTTGAGAGGTTTTGGCACGCCTCTATTGAATCGGCATGGTGAGGGCCAAGAGAGACATCCATTATATCCTTGGCATAAGCAAAAACCTGTGCAGCCGACTGTGGTCTATCTAATTCCAAATAAGCAGCGCCTAAATTATTATAAACATAACCAATACTATAATGTTTCGGACCGAAGCTCTCTTTAAGCCTTTCAGCAGCATCCTCCAAGTAAGGAATCCCCTCTTCCACTTTCCCCATTAACAGAAGTAACCAACCAATCCTTGCAGAAACACTCCCCACTGAATGTTGTTCTTGAGGAATCTTATCGAGCATTTTAAGTGCTTTTTTCAACAAGGATATGGCAGTTTCAAACTCATTCATAGTCTCATATTGCATAGAGATTTCCATATAAGCTTCAGAAACATCAACAGGAAAGCTC